CCCCAAAACCCCAAAACCCCAAAACCCCAAAACCCCTTTACTTCAAATTCAAATTGAAATAAAATATTTCTTATCTTTTATTATATTTAAACTTGTGTCGTAAAGATGGAAAAGGTACGTATCCTTCCTCCTCTTCCTCCTTTGCCCCTCTTCTATCTTTCTCCCCAAAACCCCAAAACCCCTTCACAGCCCAGGTCTCCACAGGGCTCAGCTCCAGTTTCTTTGACGGCCAAGCCAGAGAGTCCTTCTTCAGGCAGATTCACTGGGGGCCAGGAAGGAAACCTAGCTGGGTTTGGGAGGGGGAGGAATTTGGAAGGGAAGAGAAAAAGGATGGAAATTTGGGGGCGGGGAGAGGGGCAAGGTTTGGAGAGCTTAGTAGTGAGATGTTAAGGATTAAGCGATTTATGAAGAATCTGAAGAGATTTTGTACTGGGTCACTTGAATTCTGCTCTTTTCTTTTTCTATTTTTATTAATAGCATTATTAGAGCTGTATTTGTTTCCCAAAATATGCTTGTATTTCAACTTTTGCCTCTCCATACTCTTTAGATCATTACAAAGATTCATTAGAATCACCAATCCGAATTAAAATTATTTTTAAAAGATTTTCCTTATTTCTCTTTACTATTTCCTATATAGAAGATTGACAAGGATACCAGCAAAAAGAAGGAAGTTTTGCGTAAGTTTTAGGCTTCTGATAGAACAAGTTAACACTAGAGCTTTTGACATCACTATTTATGCCGTTTACAGAATCTCATTTGCTCTAAAAATCTTAGCAGTTTTAGTACTACTTGGATTGTTCTGCTCAAGGAGTTGAACCACCTCTCTTTAAAAGCAAGAAAGAGAACTATTAATCTTTTGATGAAATAACTCATTAGGATAGATAATAAGCTTTGAATTATCTTGAAATCTATCTTAGAAATCAGATTGTTCTTTTTGATCTATTTCATGATCTAACTCTCAAAAATATTGCATCTTAAGTTTTTATTCCTGGATCTTGGAAACTCGCAGAAAGTTTCTAAAAACGTTCTAATAGCTCAAAATCCACAACCTGTTGAACAGGTGACAAGAGTGATCCCCTTCAGCTTGACTGCAGCTGAAGATTCAGAGGAGGATGAAATAGGTATGCCCCAAACCTCAGGGTCTTAAGACTCTACTGCTATAAATCAAACTTTTAGTGACAATTTTGAGGTGTATCCATATCCAAAATTGTGTTATTTTAGTCAACACGTATTCACTAAAATTTCGATATAGACTCAGTATACCCCCTGAGTAATGCCAAGATAAAGAAGGAAGACTTAGTAGTCGCTAACATTGGGTGGTGGTGCTGTAAATAAGAGAATCACTACAACAAGAAGCAATATGTGCAAGTAAGCCTTAGCACTAAGACTATAGGATCTGCAACATCTTTATCTTCCTCACAATCGTAATCGTAATGGCTTCGCTGTCATTTTTCATTTCGAGCAGAGATTATTGGATCAGAATTTCGTTCTATGGAGATAAAGTCGTGAAAAAGAACTATGATGCGATGAAAGTGAGGCAGATCGAGTTTAATACCCAGAACTGCATTGTATACCTACTTGAAAAGGAAGATCCCAAGAATATTGAATTGACAATCAGTGCTGAGAGAAATGCAAAGTTGAATCAGATATTGGAAGGAAATAAATTATCTGTCTCAGTGAAAGCAGAAACTGGAGGTGCAAGATGCTATGTAATGGCAAAGATCCCAGGAGGGCAAGTTCTTGATAAAGTATCCTTCACATTCGCCAAGGATAAGACTAAGGATGTTATGGTATATGATCATAAAGATGGCAGCAAATGGAAAACACCTTTGGATATCAAGGAATTCAGTGTTAGTGTAGATGATTCGAGTCCTAAGTTTTTCATTGAGAATGGGCATAAAGTTCATCACCTGTTTATTCAAGGAGATTATTGTATTTGTAATTTCCATAAAATGATTATTTACAACATGGATTTTAAGGTGGCCTTTGGAAGTCTATCAATTATTCAAGGCCAGAGCATATCCCAGAACAAAATTACTGTCCAAACTCCCCATGGAACCCATTGTATTGCAAGTAAAACTATAAATACTGTTGACAGTAACTGCCCAGACCAAAAGCAGAGGGATATAGGCATCACTACCAAAATCATTGATACTTCTAAATACTGCAAATCCGAACTTTACATGTGTTCTGATTTAGCAGAGGAATGTCCTCAGGCTAAAGAAATACCAGAAGCATGGCAAGGCAACTTTGACATAACTCTTAATGATGGTCCTGTTCAGATACTTATTGATGGTTCCACAATAGAGAATAGTGTTTCATACAATCCTACTTTAGATACTTTTGCTGTGAGCTCTCAAAACCAGTTGAGAACAAATAAGGAAGAATTTAGCAAGGAGGATAAAGATCCTAAGATATTCATCTATGAGCTTGTGAGTCCAGGCTACTCACAAACGTGGTTACATTCCTTCCTCAAGCAATATCTGCAAGCAAGACCTTGGGTGATTTCATTATAGTTTCCCTTAATTTCCTATCTCCAGAGTACAGCTATAATACTTTGATACATATACCGGGAAGGGAGTGCCCTAACCCTCCAGTTTTGCCTATTCTCTCAAGAGTGCAGATCTCTGATAAGCTGAAGGAGCTTAGTTTTAGACAAGCAAAGGATTCTTTTGTTGAAGTTTCAGACAATAATTATCACGAGTACTTCATGAACGCTGAGAACAAACCCAAAAAGGAAACTGTAAGCTTCATTGATGGCAATCTGCTATTAGTCTTGTGTTTCTGCACAATGGTCATCGCTGCTGTCATCATGGTAGTAGCTATTCTCTTTATCGCAATTAAACTCATGGCTGGCTATGAAAAAAGGTATAATAAAGATCTTCAGAGAGCAAAGAGATTTTCTGAGGCTAAGAGAGAAAACAGGAATCATGAATCTGTCTATTATTACCAAGCTGAGAAGAAACTGAGGGAAATGAAGAAGAAGACAAAGTACCTTAGATTGGGGATAGTATCCTCAGCTATTGTAGAAGTAGACCAAGAAGACATTGAGGGTGATGAGAGTTTAAGCAAGAGGATCACAACTAGCAAACTAATACATCTTTCCTTCTTTTAAAACGGTGAGTTTGGTCTTGGACTATCTCGAGAGAAGGAACACAAACTCGCTCAAGAAGTTCCTCAGCAGCATCAAAGTTGATGAAAGCCGTTTCGAAGGATATGAGGGAGAGGAGATTGGTAGATTTGAGATGAGAGCTATCAGAATGGACAGCCTTGTTAGTAAATACCTTGAATACTGCACAAGATTTGGATACAAAGCACTCAATATTCATGAAAATGAGCATATTTTTACGAGTAAAGGATACCTGGTTGAGAAAATCCAGAACAGTTCTACTTCAGCATTCACTCACATCCGCTGGAAGACTTACTATGAGAAATGCAAGCATCAGAAACTGAAAAGAAGAGGGCTTAGCAATTCTGAGTACAAAGTAAAGTCAGATAGCATTATTCTCAGGTTCTTGTACAGTGAATGCGTCAGAAGCGACAATGACTCAGATTTCATTTTACAAAGAGACCTTGAGCAAAAGTATTTGATGTACTGTGAAGAGAACGAAATTCAAGAGATTGATAGAGCCAATATTTCAAACTCAAAGAAGCTCAAAGAGTTTGGAGCAATATATAAGGAGAAGTTCCCAGTTGAATACGTTCTTGGCATTGCAGAAACCTACTCTGTCAGCCTTGATTATGAGAAATCAGTCCCAGGGCTAGTCAGAAAAACAGCAGGAGAGAGAAACAGAGGATGGCTTGCGTTCCTTAGGTATGATGCTGAAGGGCGGCTTCATCCCTTTTGGCAATTCTGGAAAACTCTCTTCTGGAACATCTTTTCAAGCTTGATCTATTTCGTCCTAATCTTTGGGATTCCTTTGTTGTATCTCCTCACCATCACTTGATTCTTACAAGAGATTAACTTTATCCAGGAAGATATAAATGCACCTGTATTCAGGCTGAGTGACATCTTCAATGCCAGCTCATTTGACTTCTGGTTTAGCCATCTGCCACATAAATGGTTATTCTTCCTTCTGCTTGGATTAGCCATCTGTTCCATAATGTCTGGCTTGGTAGAACTCATTCTGTTCTTCTTGACAGACACCCCAAATACAGGTAAATATCCAACTTTGCTAACCTGGGAAAGGAAAGTCGTCAACGGAGTATTCTGGTCCTTTTTGATGATATATCTTGTACTGTACCTGACGTACTTCAGCATTATACTCCTGTGGTGCATCCTTGGGTCTATCCTGAGTCCTGCAAAGTTCTTGCCTATATCGACAGGAGCAGCTGTGCTGGCAGCATGAATTTATTACTTCTATGCAACCATTACAGATGTTGACAAGAACCTCAAAGACACCATTGGCAAGATCGTAGATGAGCAGCTGAGGAATACAGTCATCAAGAATATTAGAGAGAATAGCAGGATGAAAGGGATCCTTGAGCAAGTAGAAAACCTCCCTCAGATCACTTTCAATAAAGCATTTAATGTGTTCATGGAGCTTAACGATTACCCGATTGTCAACAGAGACCTAACTGACGAGATCCTGAACGGAAATGGAGGTGTCTTGGTGCAAGTCCTGAACACTAACATGGGTATCGATGAGAATGTCTCACTTGCTCTGGTCGGTATCGTGATGAACGATACTTCTCTGATACTTGAATGAGTTAACAGCCTCTCGATCCAACTAAACCTTGATCCAACATTTAACATGATCTTCACTGAAATTATCCTGGAAAGCTATCAACCAAATGAGAGGGATACAAAGGCTATCTCGAACTCAGTCATTCTTTCTACGAAGAGGTGTTGCAACCAGTTTTTCCCTGGCTTCCAAACAGAAGTAATTGATGATGTGCTCAGAGTAGTTTATGACAAAAAGATAGATCCGCTGAAGGAGCTTGCCGTCAAGTTTGGAGTGCCAACAGATATCCTCGAAATAGGCATCCATCTGATTAAGCGTGATAAGTTTACAGCCCAGCACTACCTAAATGATTTCTCTGAGAGTATTTTGCCAAAGGAAAGCAACAACCTGTTTGTCCTCCTCAAAAGATTCTGCAGCAAAGATGTTTTTGGAAAGAATAAGAAATTAGGCACTTTGTTGAACCTTGAGTTTGATGTAGCAATAGACCTTATCTTTGCGATGTGTGTTAAAGGAAGAGACTCAGGAAGGTACTCTCTTCTCAAAGCAACATCTACCTTATGAAAGGACTCCAAGCATGCCGCTTTGAGTCGGGCAGAGAAAGCACTCAAGGACAGATACGTCGCCCTTGGAGTAGCCACTTCAGGAGATAGAGTAGATGTGGAGAAACTTGCAAAGAACTCCATATTTGATGTTTACCACCCCTCTCTGATCTCGCTAGTGAAAGCTTCATTGGGAGATAGGTTTTCGCTGAATCAGATTCTCCATAACTTGAATTTGGAAGAGCATTCAAGAATTGTCACAGAGATGGCAGAAATGGTATTTGATGAGAAAATCGAGTTCACAGACATTTCCAGCAGACTAAATGTCCCCCAAGAAGAAAGTAATGTGTTCAAATTTATCTCCTATATAGTCAATATTCTATTCCGATTTGTCTTGAAGATTACCTCTGTGATTCAGAAAATTGAAAGATGTACAAATATTAAAAGTCAGAAAGGATTCTAATCCTAATAAGGCCTCCCCCTGTGCAGGAAGCAAGTTACTCTCTTTCACTAACGATAAGATCGAATCTAAAAACTGCTTCGATGAATTGGTCAAGCATGATTTAATTGCAGACAAATCTTTATTCAAAAATGGTAGGTTTCTAACAAATCAATTTTAGTCAGAGGCAATAACCTTGATGACCTCTTCAATTTGGTTGAACTAGAGTACCGAAGCTGTCTCAAGAATGGCATTCAGGATATCAATAAACAAGTAAATTATTCTGCTAATAATTCATAGACATTCAAGGAGATTAGCAAGGACTTGAACACCCTTACTAACCTGGTGACTGACAACGTGTTCACAACTCTGAAATTTAAAAGCAGCCAAAGGAATTGTCTCGAAGCCTTGCTAAACTTGCTCATGTCAGTGATTTATAAGTCAGAGAAGGAGAATTTGAGCTATGAGCAAAGAGAAATTTATGAGCACTCTATCAAGATAGTCAGCAATATGCTTGAGATAAGAGCAGAAATCGTTGAATTCATCATAGACTTGTTCTCAGGGGAGCCGTACCGGATCTTTGGATTCCCATGTCCAAAGCCAAAGATAGATATCCCATCCTTTGGAAGTAAGCTCCCCATGGATAAGTCAAGGGTCTATATCTTGAGTGACGCACTGAGGCTGACTTTTAATCAGGTTCGCAAGATTGGTGGAATCTGGACATACAGTCAGAGCGCGATCAGAGATGTGGTTAAGAGAACTAACGATCACGAGCCCAGTGAGACTGAAACTCTCTGTGAGATCCTTGGAGTTGATCCACGCTTCTTCGAAATCTTAACAGAGTATTGCACGAACAAGGAGGAAGAGATCTCTCACACCTCTACCAAGAAGGATATCAGTGAATTCACTGTTACTTGTTTCACACAATTATGGGAGGAGGTAGAATCTAGCCATGAAGAAAGCAAGGATGGCCAAGATGATCCTTGGGGACTTCCAAGTAAGAAGGCCATTTTCTGCAACAATTTTGTCGATGAGATCCACAATAACTCAGAATTAACTCCAGAGCACAAAGATGTAATCACGAGGACTTTCGAGACAAGTTTTGATGGCCATGAAGGCATGGTCAAGACCGCTGCAGTTAAAGGTGACAGAAAGCAACTTCTCAAAATTTTCAAAATCTTAGTTGATCTGGTGTACAAGAAGAAATTAGGAAGTGAGTCAAGGTTTTCTCATAAATTTATAGGCGTTCTGAAGGTCGATGATGATGAGTACAAACTACTCAGGAATGCAAACGAGTTGCTAGAGGAGAAACATAAAGATTGCTTACTTGCTTTTATAATGATAGGGAAATATCTTAAGAAAAGCAAGGGTATGCGCAATGAAAGGAACCTGATTAAATTAATACACCTGCCGGCATTGATACTGTTCAATGGGGTATGCCTGACCTCCTCACTTAAAGCTTTGCCTCCTGATAGCCCAGCGCTAAAGTAAGTAGTTGGAGTATGACCTTGTAGGGATTTCATTGAGGTTCTGCAGACATTAGTCACCTCACCAGGAAAATTGAACAAGCTATATAATGAAATAGGATATCTTCTTCCATGACTATTGGAAGTTGGATTCTTCGATTTCTTATTTAGCGAACTTCTAATTAACAAAGATAGATTTAGTCAAAACCAGATCAACTTTGGAACTAGGAAATTGATGTCAATCATGATTGCTTTCTCTATTCATGACCAAGATAGCGAACTTCTGAAAACTAATGTCGTGAGCTTAAGTAATGCGAAGTCAAGAACTACTATGAAGGCTCTTCTCTCTGTTGTCGATAAGAACCCATCTGACGAAGAAAGTTTGAAAGGATTCTTTAAAATCATTGGGATTGATCATAAACTGGCTTATAACTTGCTAAAATTGTCAACCCTGGACCCTAGAATTGACTCATACAAGGGGTGTTACAATATTCTGGAGAATCATTGCTCAAACCCCTCTCTTGTGTCAGCATTTGTATCCCTATTCAAGAAAGATGTGTCTAACCTAGCCATTATTGCGAACACTTTAGGAATTGACTTGCAGAACTCGTTGCTAGTCATGTCTCTCGCTGTCAAGAACACAAAGATTCCTTGGGGTAAACTTGCACAGAGATTGGGCATCAAGAACAGCCATGCCTTAGAGATCATTGCCAGGATCGCCTGTGGAGATATCAAAGTCCTGGAGGGCATCATGCTTCGAAATAAGGACACTCTGACAGAGGCAAAGTACTCCCTCCTCGAAGCCATGATGACATGCCAGGAGGAGAAAGTTAAAAAGTGGATGTCCCATGAGACTATAAACTTCAGAAGAATCTATAAAAGCTGAGACATCATCTCAGATCAATTCTGAGAAAATCTAGGAATCGAAGAACAAAAGTTTGTGATGCCAAGAGTCCTTGAGAGGGTAGATCGAATCGAGGCTAATGATTCCCGGGCCAAGCTGATCCACGCCAAAACATTCACCAGGTATTGAGCTTATCCTTAGTAACTTGTAGCAAATCCTCAAGAAATAAGGACGAACTTATGCACAGATTGCTCGAAAATGATTCTTTGAAAGAAGAGGATAAGGATGATTCCTACGTAGAAGAAATAGAAATGAGCGATCTTGACCTCCAATCTCGGGATGGCTTTGAGCAAGACAAGGGCAGCTCTAAAGAGCTGCGTTTCAAAGTCCCTAAAATGGATCAGGGCAAGAAGTCTGCTTCTACTAGTATCAAGGAAGTCTGCACTCAGCTGATATTATTCAGCATTGGTGACCTCGATGCTACCAATTCAGTATTTTCTAAACTTAAAGGTAAGCTTGAGTCATAATATGATAGAGCTCTACAAGAAGAGGGGTAAACAGATTCCATACACCATCAACGAGTTGCTCAGGTTCCCTTATATGATGTTTAAGATATGTGACAAGACATCTTTCACTTATGAATGATGGCGCTTAGGAGCTGAAGGGAAAGTTATTAAGAAAGTCAGAGATGTCAAAGACCCAGATGTGCTCAGAGCACATCAATACTTTACAGCATCAAGGGCGAATAGGTATGAAAAAGAAATCTTCCCAAGAGAGAACGAAGATTCTACTCTGCTCACACTATCTGAAGTGTGGCAAACTCATTTCGAAGATTATAAAGAGTCGTCTCTCAACGATATGGTGGGCTTGATGTCTGAAGTTCACGAAGGTAAGACTGTAGCTTGAATAAATAGACTTCTCAAAATCCGCGAATAAAGATATTTTCTGTACTTTTAAAGTGACTAAATTCTACGAAATGAACCAACAATACTATGAATGCCACATGAGCGATAAATCTACAGTAAACCTGTGTCTCGGATGCATCAATTTCTGTCAGTTCGATTCCTTGTGTAAATCAACCCAAAAGGAAGAAAGCAAAGAAAGAAATATTTCAGGAGGTTTGAAGTTTATCAAAGGTACCGTCAAAGCTCTAGCCTTTTATTGAGCAATTCTGATTACTTTTAGTGATTCCAAAGAAAAGAGAGACTATTTGAGAATGAGGCCACAACCGAGAGCTTACCGAGAAAGTAACCCAAAGTTCTTAACCATAGATAAATGGCTGCACTCTTGAGAATTTTGAAAGAAAATTCGACAACAAACTAAATCAGTGCTGCTTGGGAGACCTCGAACTGCAGAAACGGAGAAGGAAGTTTAATATTGAGGGAAGATTCAAATGTAAGCTCCCTATCAAACCTAACTCATTGCGTTTAGCCAAGGGAGAGCGAAACTACAGTTTTAATACTGAAGTAATACCAGCCCCAGCTGTCATCGGGCCAGATCCAAGAGAGATGCCTCCAGTAGGTCCTCTTCTAACAACCATAGAACAAAGTAGAAGTTTTCAAGATTGCTGAAGAAGATGTGGGAGAGATTGATGATGCACAACAAGAAGCCAGAGAAGAGGCTAAGGAAGAATCTAAGCAGCGGAGCTCCCAGCTTGAAGAGGAACGTGAAGAAAGAATCACCTTTAATACCAAAGAAGATATGGGCTCCTTTGGAACTGAAAGCTACCAAGAAAGTGAATCCAGTGGAGATTTCGACGAAGACTCTATTGACGAAGGAGTCCTATTCCAAGCTTCAGAGAACATGCAGCGTTTGGATCATTCAGACCTAGGAAGCGTGATGTCTGATTCTAAACTCCCAGGGTCAAAAAGATTAGTGAAATTGGGTGAAATACCAGCTGACAGGTCATTTGATGGGAGCCATTATGGTGCTTCTAATGATGAAGAATCCAGGTAAGAGCCCATTAGTAATTCTCAATAGTGAAAGCTCAGTAAGAAATGGAGGGGGAGAAGTTTTGATTCAAGACCATAAGATGATTGTTGGAGAAAGCCTTGAAACAGGAGATCAACCAATAGGTTCACCAGGTAATAACGCAATGACTTCTCCAATAATTGAAGGGGATCAGACCCAACAACCTTCCATCCCTGCCTTAAGAAATAAGAAACTCTGGTATAAGTTCCAGAACAATAGGAATTATGTGAACGTGCTCGATCTTTTCGTTGAAGATCTCATTGAAGCATACCCGATCACAGGAGTGAGTCCTAGCAAAATGATGATGTTTGATGAACACCTTGGCAAAGTGGTGCATCTGTACGAACTCTTGTGTCAAGGATACATCTCTCCTGCATATCTGAGGTTCCTTACAGTCAAGAGACGAGGAGATGGGCTTCTCTACAACCTATATAACAAGTCAAACCCAGGAGATGATAAATTCTTTGGATTCGTAAGCACCTGCTTCTCATTGCTCTTCGGAGAATTTGGGCAGTTTATAAAATATTCAGATTGCTTTTTGGATGAGATTGGGATGCTCGACTCTAAAGATCTAGACGCCAAAAGAACAGCAGTAAAGATTATGATGCTGCTTCACGACCCAAGTTACTTCACTAAATGCTTCCTTCTCAAAGGTATGGGAGATATCTACAACGGTACCTTCTCTAGCCTGTTTGGAGAGAAAGCAGATGTTGCCCAATTCCTCCACGCTGTCGTTGCATCCCAGCCAGGCGCTCTACTAGAGAGGGTGAAGGTATACGACTTGGCTGATTCTCAGAATGAATTTGGAAAAGGCATTATATCAAGGAAGGAACAATTCAAGAGCTTTCTGTTTGAGAAATGCAACTTCGACGATGACTGTTACGACTGGCTTAAAACTCTCTTATGTCTTGTACTAGGAAATACCGATCGGATTAACTTCATTGCCAGAGAGTATGAAATCACAACTCCTCTGATGGGGATCTTGAAGGCCCTCTGATCCAGAAGAGTAACTGAAATGGACCAGCTCTTCAAAGCCATAGGGCAAGAGGTAAGCCATTGGTGATCGTTATAGCCTGGAATCGGTTTGACAGAACAAATGTGAATGCTCAGTGCAAATCTTGTCAAAGGAGAATTAGGAAGATCATTATATCTACAGGAGCATAAGTCAGTTTGAGTTTAATATTTAGAAGAGAGGAATTCGAAGAAGCATTGTCTAATTGTGAAGGATTTGAAGAGAGCCATCAAAAATATACTGACCTCTTTAATTTCATTATTTCAGATGGGTTCAAATCAGTAAAAGAATATAGGAATACAATGGCTGGAAGGTATTTCTTGCAATATAATGCTATAGGGGAATCGAGAATCCACCATGTAAAGCTGTGTTTCGAGTTTATTCTTGCATGTCCAACTTATACTTCTTGGTTGGGCAGAACTTTGTTCATTCAAAATAGTCAAAATTCTTCTAAAATGTCTAATTTCACTACTTATAGGGGTCGCAAGTGACATTGCCACAAAATATGAAATCAGTAGAATTCTTCTTTAACATATAGGGCAATTAGATAGCATGCTGAGAGTCATTGAGGGGACTTGTAGTGATCAAGACATCAGAGAGATCTTTAATTCTTCAAAAGATACAGACATAGAGGTGCATGATTCCTACTTAGAGCCCATTCACAACTTCATTGGAGCGTTGAACGGGAAAATTCTTAACTTTGGGTATACTTGTGATGTGCTGTTTTATGAAAACAAGACTTGGCTCTGCTCCCTCCTCACTTCAATTTCCGCAAGGAATAGACTTTTCTGTGTCAGAGAGGAGCATCTGGAAATTAACTCAGACGCCGAGATGACAATGGAAGCTGCTGAAAAAGAGAAAACTGAGTGCTTAAAGGCAATTCTGAAGATACATCTCAGAGCAATTTTTTTCTCTTGCATCAACCTAGACCCTACAAAGGACAAAGCTGACCTACAGTTACTAAGGAAAGATCACTTGATAAATACATTTGCATATATCCTTGGCAACTCATTGTTCATGGGCAATCAAGGGCTTCAAAGCCTCATGCAGGTACGAGATGAGGTCTTCAACCACAAAATAATTGAAAAAGAGAGCTTCAACGCCTTGGAAGAACTTATCGAAGACAAAGGGTTCAAACACCTCGAAGCACTGATGGGCTCGATCGAGGAGAACTTAGTTAAAGATGTAAGTGTCGCCTTCCTACTAAATTGGAATTTATTCCTTACTCCAAGACCGCTTGGCTTACCTTGGCTTGCATATAGACAAAAGATACAAAAATAAAATGGCTTAAGGGGAAAGACCTTTATATTGAGAATTTAAAGCCTGTGACTAAGTTTACAGAGGCATTTGAGAAAGCCACAAAGAAGAAGCTATCGGACCAGACAGATGAGCACTTAAAGAAAATCTGAGGAGACACCGATAAAAAGAAAGCAGCAGAGTACAAAGCTCTACAAGGTAAATGTGTATCTGATGTTTTAGCTACTTATGGGTATGAGATCTTTAAGCAATCAAAGATCAAGATTAAGTTGTCTTCAATGATTGAGCTTCTGCTCAAGATTTCCAAGAATGATCTGAAGAGCCTCAGAGATCTGATGATGTTTACACTCCCTCTATTCTCGAAAATACACAGAGGAATTGAAATTCTTCAGTTTTGTATGCTGGTTATTGAAGAGAGACTGCCAAGGGTCTCCCAGAAAGCCCAGACTGATAAAAAGCAGACTTCTGCTTTGGTCAAGAAGTTACCAGAATTGATTGAGATTTTCAGAGAAGCAGTTATTCACAAATCTTTAATCAGTAAGCCAGCTGCAAAGGTAAGGTTGCCCGATAAGATGTATAGAAGCCAGCTCCTAAGAAGAAAGTAGTTCCTTCTAAGAAGGGTGATCCAAAGAAGAAAGTTGATCCGAAGAAAGTTGACCCTAAGAAAGTTGATCCTAAGAAAGTTGACCCGAAGAAAGTCGATCCAAAGCAAAAGAATGTTGTAGTGAAGAAAGATAAGTTAAAAACATTGGCTTCGGCTCTTGGTGCTTCTAAAGCTGCCAAGTCTCCTTCAAAGCCAGCACCTAAGGCTCCTCCAACGCCAGCTCCTAAGGGTCCTTCAAAGCCAGCACCCAAGGCTCCAGCCAAGCCTGCGAAACCTCCTGCCAAGAAGCCGGTAGTTAAAAAGGAAGATCCCCAAGTAAAGATTGACAAGAGTATGATGAAAGCAGTTGCAAGGTAAGTTGTAGCCCAAATTTTAATAATGCCTCTAAATTTCCTAATTTATCTTGCAACCACTTTGGAACATCTCTAACTTGCTGTATAGCCTCATCTCGCTCTTCATGTATATCTTCGATACCAGAGATAGCAACCCAGATGTGCCCGAATACATGGCCAAATTTAGACTCACTTTGATAGATGTCAATGCAGCATTAAAACTAGCTGGGAAACCCCAGATCGATGAGGGGCGCCAAACAAACTTGCTCACCTTCATTGTAGGAGTCTGCAAGGAGGACTACAAGATGCTTATAAACTTGGCTTGAGACCTCGGAATGTTCGAGGACAAGAAGATCAAGAACTTCATCAACATTTTCAAGAAGTTCCAGACCATAATCTACGGAAAGCAGGTGTACGGAATCCCTCAGCTATCTCAAGACCTTACTCGTATGCATCATGCCGTGAAGAAGTCCTTCAAAGAGCAAAATTACAGCCTGAGGGGAGCAGTCAAGATGATTGCTAGTGAAGGTGCCGAAGAAGCTAAGGTCAGGAAAGAGAATGTGAAGAAGGATGTCTCTAAGAGAGCTAAGCAAGCAGGCAACTTTGTCATTAGCTCCGTCGGCAACCAGATGACAGACCTAGTTTATAAGGACCTCTTCACCATGTTTGACAGAGATGGCTCTGGAGTTATAAGCTATGGTGAGTTTAAAGATCTTTGCAGGTATATGGGTCTTCAGATGAACGAAGAGAGATCACTAAAGCTCTTCGCACAGGCTGATTATAGTGGCAATAATTATATTGATAGTGAAGAGTTTGGCAAGGCAATGGTTCTAATCAAACTTGAACTCGCACAGAATTCTCTAAGGGAGCTTGGACTGACTACAGATGACTTGATTACATTTGGAATCCTGGCTATTGCTTATCTTGTAGTTGGCCTAGCATTTATTTTCCTGGGCATCTTTGCCTTCAGTAGAGCCGATAGCTTCAGTGCTGTGATCAATTCAGTATTTCCTATCGCAGCAGGAGCAAGCTCAGTATCTCAGAGTTCTTCCATTTACGATAGAGTAAAAATGGTCGAGGCTCACATTGCAGAATCCTTCAAAGATATGGATAAGAAGAAAAAGAAATAACTAGTTTAGATTTAATCGAACTTAATCCAATCTCTTAGTTTTCATCTCTTAGTGTTCACTTCTTATTAGTTTTGACTGAGGCCTATTTGTTCTACTTCTTAATGTTATCTTACTCTCTTCAGCCAACTTCATTTATTTTCGTTCCTTCAAACTCTCTTAATTTCATCTAAACTAAAGACAAAAGAGAAAACAAACTTTTTATTCAATATTTTAACATTACCTTGGGGTTTTGGGGTTTTGGGGTTTTGGGGTTTTGGGG